GATTCTATGATTCTATTCACAGGGCTCTTGCTGGTTCTCATTGTCAGTATGATTCGGGCTTTAGAGTTATGACCTAACTCCAAAAAGGAAACAAACCAATGGAGTTAATAGAAAAGGGGAACAGTTGAATGCTGAAGTGCAACTGGGGACAGGGAAGAAGTGGCACAGAAACAAACTTTTCTATTTGCACATTGCAAAACGATGGACTGGATATGTAAGTGAAGAACCTTTGCAATTTATTTCCCTTACTGAAATGGCAAAATACTTGATTCCTTTTATGAACAGGAAGGGAAAATCATTAATGAAGATATTTCCTGAGGGAAGAACCCTATATTGAAGATGGCTGGAAAGAACCACCATAGGAGGCATATTCTGTATAAATTTTGAAGGGAATACCTAGAAAACAGGTCAATCTTTTTAAAAAAAAAACCAACAAATTTAATGTCAAAGACAAAACAACACATTATATTCATATTAATTCTCCTTTTCATACCTTTTGAAAATTTACTTAAATATCAAAACAATAACTTACTATTTTGCTAATAAATAATAATTAGAACAGAACAATTAAAAAAATGGTGGAAAACTTCAAAACTCAAGCAGTTTCCCATTTCTGAGCTAAACAAAAAAAATTCATAGAAAAATTATATGCATAAACTATGTCTTTTAGCAAATTTAAAGAAACACACTGCTATCCTATTAAGTGAAAGGAAGTCACAATAGAAACAAGCATCAGAAAGGATCACAACTAGCTGGAAAAGGGGAATGTGGCTTCAGAGCACTATGAAACATTCAAAGTGACCATCTCCAGGGCAGGAAGCCCATCACCTACTACTAGATGTTATTCACTTAGTAACATTTTTTTTATTTTATTTTTCCCTTCCTGACCTGCAACTTCTGCATAAAACTCAACTGTGAATTGCACATATTGCACATCAACAGAAGCACAAGATTAAATGATTTTCAACAAGATTATTTTACCTATTATCTATTTATATCCTTTCACCTGGATAAAAGGGTTAATCCTGCTGCTTAGAAAGCCACCTTAATCTAGCACGCAGTAAAAAATAGGTATTACTCCTAGAACTAACAAATGAAATTAAGCCTATAACAGAACATTTACAAGACATTAGAAGAAATGTTCGATGAGGCAGTTAAATGTAAATCCTAATTGTATGAGAGTTGTGTTATAAGGTTCTTATCTGACAGGTTAGTCACCCAAATACAAGGACTGAGCTGATACAAATACAAAATCTGATTCCTGAATATCAGTTTCTAACAAAAACAGCTGGACACAGAATAGCTACCTGGCACTTTCATACTGTTTCACAGTCAATAACGTATCCTCAATTGTTTTATTCACCAATGTAGTCACACTGGCAATAAAAAAGTTAATAGCTCCAAGAAGAGTTTCTCCATTTTTAGCTAGCAGTTTCTGCGTATCTGCATTGTAGCCAAACTCCTCCTATAAACAAAGAGCAGAAAAAAACCAAAACTGTAGATGATTTAAAATTGTAACATTCATCAGCAATTACATAAAACATACACATACACAGATTTGGCAGTTCTTCCACTTTTCTTTGGATATAGTTATGATTCAACAGATACGATTTCAATACTTGACAGTTATTAAGAATTTTAACATCAGCAAACCATGGCTTCCCATTTTTCTACCATGTGTGGTGTTAAATCATATTTTATCATTTTTTTTCTGCCCTGAGAAGTCTTCAGTGTTACTTAAAATTAAATGCTAAAGTCATCTTTACATTGTCATTCAGCAGTGGTTGTCTAGGTGATGCTTTACTACCAACAGAGACACCATTACATTAAATACAGTAATATAACTAAAATCACAAGAACATACAGCATTAATTAGCCATTAAGCTTTATTCTTACATTCTAGAAAAGAGCACTGCAAACCCCCACTGTCTTTCACAGTTCAATAGGCTGTAAATAACTGAAGAGCAAAGCATTATAATGGATAGCAAAGAAAAATTTAACTTAGTTCAGTCATAAATTTTAAGGGGACACAGGCAAAATTATTTCCAAGGCATTCCTACCTGTCACGTTTGGATACGTTTATTTGTATCTTTTTGTTAACAGTAGTGTAAGCCCTGTCCAAGGCTGAAAAGATTTTCCTAATGCATGGATGCCAAACAAGTCCAATTATTATATTTATGTCATCCATATGGCATCTTCATATCCTGCAGATGGGAGTTCTCACAAAAGAGCACAAGCTCTGGTTGTAATGGCTGTAAAACCGACTAGGTTCATATTTGGAACTTGGTCTTTTTAGGCTTGCACGCTGCCAACAACTGACTCAGAACTGCTGTATTCTCCCAGTTTCTTTTCATCTACCTAGAACACGAACCCCAAAGCCAAGTGATATTTCACATTAACATTAAGGACCTCTTTCGGGTAAGGGCAATGGGGAACAGTCAAGGAAGAATCCTCTGGAAAAGGAGGTGCAATGGAAGTGAGCAATTTGAAGAAGAAAAAAAATCCAAGAAAACTTAAGGCAGGATTTCATGAGCTAAGCCCTGTAAACATCGCTGAAGACCTGTCACCTTTGCTTTGCGCAGCTGCTTGGGTGGCTGCATGGCAACACAAGCCCTAGCACAGGGAAGAAATTGGAGCATACAGGCAGAGACAACATAGTAAGACTGCTCCTTTCAACAGTGTTCAGTCCCATCTCTCTTCCCTCCTGCAGGCAAGACTGCAATGTTTTCCAGCTGGTCCTCTGACCTGGATCATTGCAGACCCAACTGAGCACCTCTGCCTGTTCAAAGGAGGGAGGTAAGAGGGATGAGACTGCAGTGGCCTGCAGTCTTAAGAAACACGCTAGCTACCAAAACTGTCCTTCTACTGGGTCATACAGTTTCATATAAAAACTTCGACTTTTTTCCATAACCTCTGCAGATATCTCTTATGAAAGAGACATAAAATCCTTTCTCTATCAAGAGTTTACACTCAGTTTATACTCTATGCACAGGTCGCTTAAAATTGGAACTCATCTGTCTACATAAATTGGAGGCATTTGAGCCTGGAAACAGGAGTTAACTTTGAATCCAAAAGAAAAACTGCAAAATATTCACATTAAGTAACACCTCTGCAGATAGCACATTGAGATCTCATTTTATTATCATGTATAAAATAAGAAATATTACCTTAAGAAGTGGTGTGGGTTTTGTTTTTTTAAAGTCATATACTGTTATTATGTTAAACATTAAAGACTAACCGTTCAGAAATTTTACTTTTAGTCTTGCACAAGTTTTAGAGGCAACAATGCTATCCAAACATCCAAGAAGAACAGGCCAGGCTACAGATGGTAATACAGTAAAGATTAAACAGAGGGGAAACACAAAGAGGAAAGAGACAAACATCAGGCAAGTCTCCAAGAGGCAAAGGTTAGATAATTTTTATTACAGCAGCAGAAACCTTTATTTGATTTTCATCAACAGCCCCATTCAATAATCTACACAAGAGATGAATGACGGAAACAAATTCCAAGACCAGTACAAGATGCTGGAGGAACAGTATTCCCACTAGAAGTTACAAGCTACGCACAGGGGGGGTAAAAAAACCCCAACATTCATTAAACATGAGCATGATGCCAGATTTAATTCAAGTTTCAGAAGAAACATCCAGCTTCAGCACATACTTCATAACAATCACTAAGTTCTGCCACAAACCCCATGACCATATTTGTGTCAAGAGTAAACCGATTATTAAAAACTTCTTTGAGCAGATTACTTAATTTCTTAGCTGCTAGAAGTGCTTTACTTTCACAGATTTTCATCTGTCAGACTATAGTATTAAAAACTCCTGTACTCCAGTGTGTGAGTCTCAATTTGTTTTTTTTTTTTCAGATAGTTATCAGTTCAAGTTCCTCTCTACAAGCATGAACTCCTCCTCCTCCCTTAAATGTCCATGGGAATAGGCAATCACAAAAAGGGAAAAATAACAGACAGAGGTTTTTAAGTTTAATAATCACAAAGATAATTTGGGCTGTTTCAGCAGCTAGGTTTTAGGGAATCAATAAGCCCCTTAATATTGGCTTTCCAAAGGCTCAGTAGCAGTATCAAATCACTTTAATTCTGGAAATACAGAACAACCAATGTAGAAGCAAGCCAGCTGCTATGTTTTGTACACAACATCTACCTTCTCTCTTTACAGCAGATAGTTTTATTATTTGCAAAAATAAGTGCCAGTATTACATAAACTTCTAAATCAAGGAATCATAACAACCCAAATGCCTCTCTTGCTCAGGAACTCCAAGATAAGAATACAGATTAGTCCTATTAGTAGCAAAATTCTGTTTAAAAAGGTACTTGGGGGTTAAACCTCAATGCTTAAATATACTACAGAAAAATAACTTACTTTCACTGTGCACAACTGAAGTGCCCTATTCTCCTTACTCCCTGCCATATTCACCACAGGCATTCTGTAATTGAAACGACCTAACACTCTACACCACTTTGAAGTCATTTCATTAAAAGCAAAATTAATAGTAAAATGCATTTTCTATACAATGGAAAGCTGTCAGTTCTTGAGTCCAGCCATCGACTAAAGGCAAACATTTAAGAAACAGTAAAGAACTATAGTAATTTCCATTTCTTATAGTTTTAAGTAGAGTACCTAAGCTTTTAACACAAAGAGCATGTGATATATTAACTACAACATCTAGAAAAGTAGCTGGTAACTACTGTATGCCCTGCACGAGTCAATTAAGCTTATCTTCAACTCTGCCATTTTATTTTAAAACTATAAAAGTCTTACATGAAGTTCCAATGATTTCAAACTCAGGTCAGCAAATGCATCTCCAAGTTGCCTTTGGGTATGTACCATCTGGAAGAGTTGTGTGGACAGTGTCTGTGCCAGTCTCAAGATATTTTCATATTTTTTTTTATTATCTCGCAATATATCTATTTGAGCTTCTAGTTCCAGATCTACTGTTCTTGAGCCACGACCCAATTTTTCAGAGATGATCTGACGTGTGCACTGGGAAAAATAAAATTTAAATTATAAAGAATCAAGTATATTCAAGACAACAGAGCATACACCCATTTTCAGCTTCAAGGGACGTATAATTACACACAATTCTTTCACAATCACCCCTCCCAACATAAGTTTGCACAACAAACTGAAAAAACAACACACTCTTTAGAAGTTTATCAGGACTCAGCAAGAACAGTTGGACAAGTCTCAACTCCTACTAAGATGAATATTCAAGTTAGCAAATCAAGAGCATAACTAATAGTTTCTCAAGTAAAAGAACATTTATCTCTTTTTAGGTTTGGTGAATCTCATTAAGTTAAAAGAAGCAATTCAGCCTGCTGCATTAAAGTCAGTTAAAGGGAGAGAGGAGTACCACTAGCTCTGCAGAAAAACACCTAGTTAGTGATGTTTTGGTCTTTGTCTACCAACCATCCAATTCCAGATTATTCATGTTATGTCTTCCAAAAATGTTTTGTGGGTTTTTTTTTGGGTTTACTTTATTTTATTTTATTTTGATGGGGGCGTGGGCTGTGCAGGGGAGTAAGGACATGGTGGGTTTCAGCATGTTTTTTTAAAGCTGATGGGTAATCCGGGAACTTCTACTGAAAAATATACAAAGCTATTAAAACAAATTTCTTATTATTTACACATATATAAAATGGAGCTGATTATCTCAGAAAGACTTACTACTTGTTTTCTGCCACAAGTCAAATTCTTAACAGATTTTCAGCTCATTAACACAGTGAGCAGAGAACTTGAAAGGCCACAGACACTTTCACCCACCCAATGAATGTGACAGCTCAGGGTGCTGCCACATTCCACTTATCTCTGGCACCTTCTCTGCCAAAGATTTGAGCCCAGCTTGGCAGTGAGCCTCTCAAGATGCACTCTGGGGTTTCCCTTCACCAAGACACAGGAGAAGCCATTTGCAAAGCAGATGTGTAGCAAAGCCATAAAATTTGTCTATGGAAAGCAGGAATTATTTGCTGTTATAGTAAGTCATTTGATCTGCGGTCCCAAGAGATGAAGAGATAATCAAATTACACATGAAGAATTACTGGTAGAAACAGAATTACAAAGAAACGAAGTCAGCAGTCAAGGCCACAACTAGTCTGCAGGGAAGTGCAAAGCTGCTGTTTTGTTATGTGAAGTAACACTCAAGCTTATCTTAAATCACGTTCCTCAAATACATTACAGTGCATTGGATTTCTCAGCGTTTCTAACTTCAATTGCTTTAGTTCAATCCAGTCTTTACTTACAGCCACAGTAGATAAACATTTAACCTGCTAAAACTTTTATCTCTTTCCTAAATCCAAAGGACAAACACAGGAAAGGCTCAATGAGTCAAGCAAGAAGGTCATAATGCATAAGCTTTAGACTGGAGGTTACGGTACAGACTCTTTGGGGTACATCATTAGATTCAAACAATTATCAAGAAAGAGCACAGCTAACGTAGGAGACATTTGTCTGTCAGGAATGGGAAATTTGGGAGAGCATATTAAATCATATCAACAAAGAATACAACTTCACTACCAAAGTCTGCAACAGAAATTGCAAAATACAGTTTGGCAATGACTGTGTTCTGAGCATAAATAATCATTTCACTACGAACTACGGAACTGCTGGATGAATTTTGGGTGGTCTCTGAAAAGGTAGACATACACACAAATCCTAAGGAAATGCAAAAGAAAAACCTGAATCATGGAAGGCAAAATTTTTGGAAGCAAGAATAAATTAAAGGAAGGAATTATCTTCAGCCAAGGAGTATTTGCTTCAGAATCTACAGCAAAATACCTTAAAAAAAAAACACAGCAATGACAAGCGAGGAAAATTGGTAAGTGGAAAGACTTGCACTGCATTGTTTGTTAAACTGAGATGTAGCTCAAGCTGAACACAGACTGAACAAGAATAACTGAGATAGAAGATACACTGATCTATTTTATTTACTTTGGTAAATAGATTAGTAAAAGCACACAAGTCACCACACATTCTCACTAGCAACTGGAGAAAAGACTGCATATTAATTTCATTTCACTTTGTCTTAAAAGAGTTATCTATAATGAATACTGTCCTGAATAAGACCATGCTCCTCAAAAAGAAGTAAAAAGTCAAAGTTTAAGAAGAGCAACTCTCAAAAGAACCACACCACAACAAAATACATTTAAGACAAATGTATTTTAAACTACATATGTTCAAAGATGAACAGAGACATCTGTTCATCTGGACATGTTTCAGAAATAAATGTTCCACTAGTAGTCCAGTATTAATATACCTGTTTTACAAGCCTCTTTTTAAGTTTTTCCTCAGAAGTTTAAGAAGTTGTATCAAAATAAAATAAGACTTTTATTAGAATTACCAAAAGTCAAGAAGAGTCACAACTTTCCTGTGCCTATATCTTTTTGCTAAACTGGAAATGCCTTTCTCATCCAAAGTAGGAGGAAGGGGGAAGGGAAAGAAGGGAAAAATCTTTCCCCTAGATTAGAGAAAGGGCAATTTCTTTTGACACTAACTATCTCTTTCCCCTAGATTAGGGAAAGGGCAATTTCTTTTGACACTAACTCATAATAGGGAGCATAAGACTGGGGAGTTAAGAGGCACAGTAGTTTCAAAGCCAACAGAATAACCTTATCACGTTGTAAATTACAGGAAAACGTTAAATAGAGTCTATGAAAATTCATGGTTAGGCTAGACAGAAGAGTACCTTTCACCCTTTGTGGTTTTTCAATTGGAAACTGTTTTCTTAAAGCTGAAATAAAAATGGGAGGCAACCAAAGCAATTGTCTCTTATTCACAGAAATGCATACAGGACAAGAAGCAAGGTACTCAAAATATGAAGGCATAGTTAAGCATCTCTTCACAGATGGGTACGACTTCTGAACATATCCAATGATTTCATTTCCTAATTCCCAATACAGACACTGTGACAGAGAAACTACTCATGTGAAATTCCTAAAGGACCTCTTAACAGCAAGCTTCACCACTGACTCCACTTGCAGATTAGTATCTGGTACCACTAGCATGGACTTCAGCTCAGAGGGGTTGAACTGATGACTTCCCTCCATGAACCATTTACACCTGCCTTTTATTTCTGCATCTTCTAACCTATGATCATTTAACTATTAAGAGGAGGAGACTTCTTCCCATGACCTTCTCAACAGGAACCAAGGCAAGCCAGTATGTCCAAACACCAAATTACTGTCCTTAATCAAATAAAGCAACCTTTTTTATGTAGCCTACATATAAAGTGTTTTCAAGTGTATGGCATCTCCAGGGACATTTGCATAATGCTCCCTCAACTCTAAATGATCTCATACACTCTCTAAACAATCCTATTCCTCAAAAAAAGCTATACAAGAAGTCAGTACTGGGTTCTGGAAATATCACAACTGACCTATCTCCTTAGACATATTTGGGAAACAACTTCAAACCCACAGATTTCAAGACATCAGATTAATTTTCTGAAAGTGCTAGTCTTTCTTTGCCATGCTGCTATAATTGGTGGGACTTCAGGGAGGGGGAGATTTAAGCCAAGAAAGAAGGTAAAGTCTGGATTTTTGTATGTCTACTGCCAAAGAAATAATGGTTTAAACAAGGACCGAGGACCACTCTTTCAAGAATTTTTCACTAGTCCTCTAGCTATTGCTTCACATAGGTGGGCTTGCCATCATTCTGAAACTGAGATGCACGGGGATTTTTTTTTGGTTTTGTTTTCTACATCAAGGCACCAGAAAGAGGATAAGGCCAAGTCCTCTCATATTTAGTTGTGATATAACAGATCCCATCTCAAGAGTCAATGCTGCTCACAAGAATTTTGACGAACAGGTACAGCTGAATAGCACACTGGACCATAGCACATACTCCCACAGCTCTGGGAGCAGCTGATACTTCCACAGTTGCTATAAAATTTAGATTACAAGTTCTAGTAACAATTTCATTAGACATAAAAAAGATGCAAACTTCTGATTCTATCACAAAGAACAGCACAAGCGTTGGCTTGTGAGTATGTCTCCATCCCTGCTTCCCATCCTAACTAGGGAGGAAGTCCTTACCTGCACTTAAACTGGAGGGATTCAGATCTGTGTTTTACAAAGGAAGTTTTTTCCACAGATTCATTTCCTCATGGTTTGATGTAGATCTCACCCACCTGTCCACACCTCTGTCATTTAAGTTGCAGGGGTAATAAAAAGGTATTTTTCAAAACTGGTCTTTGTTTAAAACTCCTGACATTAAGGTATTCCCTGACAATTTTTCCTTACCTTATGGCTTTTTAATGACAGCCACTTCCAGCAAACTGGTGTGCTTTAAGAAACTTTTCTTTATACTTTTGCTATTATTTTAACATCATCAAATCCCAACTGATCACAAAGAAGCAAAATACAAAACACACATGAATCGAAGCAACAATTCCAACACTAAGAAAAAAAACATGAGGGAATAAAGAACAAAAGCATGAGGATAGCAATTCACAGGTGGGGCACCTGCAGATGGGCCTGACTTCTTCCCATTAGCTACGGTTTTATTGTATCACCAATCAACTCAAAGATAGCAAAGAGATTTAATTACAAGCATTAGTGCTGAAATCTGTACATGATGTATGTTGAAGGGGACATTAGAAACAGAACATTCTTCACCCTGTTAAATTAATAATATCCATGAAAGACTTTCCACTTAAAACTAGGGATTTAAAAAGGCTTACACTCAGAAGAAAGCTAAGTCTTCCCTATCCATTCTTGCTTATGCTGACTGCAACAAGACTATTTTCAGGCAGCAATACAATACTTTGAAAGCTTCAGTCCAATCCTGGTAGCAAAATCATTTCTAGAATACATATGTACACATGCACAAATATATGTCTGCATACCTTGTAAGTGTTTAGGCTCCACTTCCTCACCAACTCCAATTTCTCCATTGCTGGATTCTTTACTTCATCTGCTAACACAACAGGTCCACTCTTCTGCTGAGCTCTGCTCCCTGTCAGACAAAGGGTGCAAATCTTCAGGGCCTTGAGGTTTAGTTTGTTTTAAAGGATTAATAGCAGGTACTGAGTATTTGTGCAATTGCACAAGCAAAAGCAGAGCAAGGTAACAGTAAGAACATAAGATGAATATGCAGATTTTCACAATCAGTTCCATAAGGAAAGAATTATTTTTAAACAGATAAAAAGCATGTGTATATATATATTTCTCAGTATTTCCTGTAGCAGTAGGGCAAATTTAGCTTACCTGAGTCCAGACAGTTTTACTAATGAACATTAAACCAGCTTTTGAAGCATGTTTATTACTTAATCTATGTTTTAAAATTCCAACAGTTGAGCACCCTCTTGGATTTAGCCAACCTAAAAGTCTGTTTACAGCCTGCAGACCATTAAATGAAAATTATCAGCATATAAAAACTGTTGTCACAGGGTATAACCAACAAACTTCAAAACAGAATTTTAAAAACTTTTCCAGTGAACATCATCCTTTCCAGATGTATTCAGTCAATACTTATTTCAGCTTTATTAGCTCATTGCATTAGGAATAATTATACAAACCACCAGTACAGAAGCAGCAATAAATAAAAATGTAAAGCAACAAATTAAAAAAAAGCTCTATGGGTAACCACTATACATTATTGCCAATGTTGGCATTTTCTAAGTAGTACAGGGTATCACATGGATTCTAAGTTTTAAATTTGCAAAAAATATTTCCCAGCATCCTAAATAGTAAGAACTGTAAGCCACTACCACTGGCTATGCAACATTTTTATCCAGTCATGTACAATTTTGACTACTCCTGCCTCTAATCCCTACTGCTTCTTGCAGTAACCTTAACCTTGCCAGGTTATTTATGTAAATAAGAGTTTGGAAAAAAAAAAAGACTGTACAGATGCCTCAAGATACTCCTTTAGCATCAAGCTCTACTATGTTCTTTACGTCTTCAAAATTTTGTGCAAGCATTAAGTAATTAATCCTCTCAACACTCTTATGAGGTAACTGAATAAGTCTTCTCCTTTTATATAGGAGGAAACAGACAAAGAGGTTAAGTAATTTGCCCACAGGCACAAAATGAGTCAAGTGGCAAAGCCTAGTTTGGGTGTTGTGAATTCTTAATGGCCACCTCATACTGTATTCTACTGGAATATGTGATCATTTTGGCAAAAAATGTCACAAGTTTCAGCTTTAACCTACATAAGATTTTGCTTACTCCCACATTAACTACTGTTTGTTATTATTAATATTCGGTAATTGTTTTTTAAAATTTTATAGAGCAGAAAGGAAAGCAGAAGTTACTTTGTGAGCTGTTAAAACCAGAAATGAGAGCCACCAAAACCCCCCAGAAGTTTCATTGCCAACTAACAGTAAATCAAATTATTAGAGACATGGAGGAGTTAGTACAGTGTCAGCAGAGACAAGGGCGTTATCCATTCAGTGCTATGATACCTGTGGGAATAATTAAATCAGAACCTTGTCCAGCCAGTCTGCTAGCTGCTGCACTGCTAGGAGATATTACAGATGATTTGGGTGATGCTGAGGAACCTGAAAAGTGGACATATTTAACCATGAAAATCCATCATCTTCCCTTAGAAGGCAATGTACACTTTTACAAGACAGGGTTGCTTGGGTTTTGCTTTTTTTTTTTTTAATTATTTTTAAATTTTTTTTTTTCCAAAACAAAGAAACACTTGCTTCAGCAAAACACTAAATAGAAACATTCACAGAAAAGCTGCTGGAATTTCTGATGGAAATGCTTCTTAAGAAGTGCAGCTGTTCATGTGAACTACTCCAAGTTTTCATGATTTAATCTTATTCTCTAGGTCATGATGCCAAACTTTTTTTTTGTAAGAATAATAAAAATAGAAATGACAGCTTCATCAGTAAGGTACATATCAATAGAAAATTCCATGGAAGATTGTTATATGCAGATTCGAGCTCTTTTTTCAGGTCTAGGTAGATTTCACCCTTCACTGTCACTGAATGGTACTCACAGCATTAAGGCGTGATGCAAACTCTAAAATCTGTGCCAATTTCAGATAGACTTGATTAACATCTGCTCCTAAGTCTGTATAAACACACAGCAACAAGCTATCCTGAAGATCATAAGAGCCATTAGCAGTTAAGGTGTGTAATCTCTTCCCCCCCCCCAAAAAAAAAAAACAAACCACCAAGCATTTTAGAGCACTTGCTTATTCTCTTAAAAAAGAGACTACAAACTCAGGTTTAAATGGCCTGCACCATGTCTGTTCTCTGTGCTGTTTTAGGAATACACTTTTCAGAGCTTTGTCACTCCATGTCATATAAATGTGAAGTTCCATTCTTATGGAACTTCCAGGATTTGAAAACTAAACAAATTAGGTTTTTCTCTGTAGCAGGGAGTAACCATTACAGTTGGGGGGAGCTTTTATTGCTTTTGCTGAGAAATCCTGAGAGGCTTCAGGGCTGACACTGTGCTGAAAGGAAAAGAAACGAAACCTTAACTTCAGCAGTTGCAACAAAACTTAGTTATTGGTAACACCAGAAGTATCACTCCAGATAACTGAATCAACAACCAGCTTTTGCTTTTTAAACACGTTGAAGATAAACACTAACACGGGGTACGTGAGTCCAATGATTTGAATCCAGTTGCACAGAAAAGATGAGACTGAAAGACAGCTCACTTGCCACGTCCTTCCGTAGGGATATATTGTATAAGAGCTGCAACTGCATTCACCCAGGCATAAAAGTTTGACTGCAAGATCCTGCTAAAGGCCTAAAGACTGAATCACTTCAGCAAGCGAGCCAAGGCAAGCAGTTAAAAAATCCTTATCATTTTACAGAGTATTAACGCAGCCTTATTCACGCTTCGTCATTCAACATCTCCCAAACCCTAAAAACCCTTTCCCTCCAGTGCTGTCTACTTTACATTCAAAAATGAAGCCCTAACAAGGACACTCAAAACAGAAAATAGAATTTTTAGACATAGGACAATTATTCTACTTTTGTGAAGCTTCCTAAGAAGCCTTAGTTTCTACCACTGCTGTCAGAGCACTCAGAAAAATCTGAAAAAAAAACTACCCTTGTAGGAAAACTGTGATATATGAAGTGTTAGAAATTGCCTAAAATGTCCAACGCTCATAATTGGTGCACCTATCTTTCTACAGAACATTTGGATTTAAACGTATTTGTGTAGATTGAAACACATCTTAAGACACTTTTTCCTTTACAGGATAATGCACTTAACAGCTACAACAGTTATCCTGCTAATAGAATTCAGAAAGGCAAGAATGGTGAGCAGTTTGCCATCTGCCCATGTTTTTAGCTAGATATTTTACTAACTTCAAAGACTTAAAGAAACCATGGCATTTACTTTGTAATATATGTAAAGTACAGCATGTAAATCACTGTTTTCATAAGCACAGAACTTTACCAAACAGGAAATGAAGCAAAATGTAAATTAAACCTATGACTACAAAGAGACTTATTTTCACAGCTGCTCATCTGAGATCATTTCAAACCTTTCAAAGTCAAAAATTGCCAAAGCTATATAATTCATTAAAATATCACTTTCACGTGCTATATTGTGGCACTCCATTTTTTTTTAGATGGGTAACTGACATTGCAAGCTTGTGTATCACTTTGTATTTCTCATTGTTTAACACTAGCTTAGATTCTCAAAAACATACTTTAATACTTGCATAGTGAATTAAATATTAATTAACTAAAATTCTTCTGCTATAAACAACCAGAAGTCTTTGCTAAGAAAATCTGTGGACATTTTTTCATTAGCAGCACCTGGAAAAAGATGCCCAAAGCTTTATCACCCATAATAACCATAAAGTAACGTATGCACTATAAGGAAAAAAAAAAGAGACAAGTCTCAGGGGCAAAAAAAGAATTCCACTTGTTACTTCGCTTCAGGTAAGTGACCTGTGTATCAAGGAATAAATAACTCTTCAATTATGTTTCAAATCACGACAGTAACTGCAACATTTAAAGAAAATTTCACCCAAAGCTTTATCACCCATAATAACCATAAAGTAACGTATGCACTATAAGGAAAAAAAAAAGAGACAAGTCTCAGGGGCAAAAAAAGAATTCCACTTGTTACTTCGCTTCAGGTAAGTGACCTGTGTATCAAGGAATAAATAACTCTTCAATTATGTTTCAAATCACGACAGTAACTGCAACATTTAAAGAAAATTTCATGCAATATAAAAAAAAGAATTCCACTTGTTACTTTGCTTCAGGTAAGTGACCTTTGTATCAAGGAATAAATAACTCTTCAGTTATGTTTCAAATCACGACAATAACTGCAACATTTAAAGAAAATTTCA